AAAAAATTTTTTAAAAAAAAAAAAAAAAAAAAAAAAAATGTCTCCTATCCAACGAACACAGCAAACTGAGATTTTTTAATTTTCATGTAAGTGGGCTAACAGTTTTTTTTTTCCTTTGAACCAAAAACAATGCTCTTTTTTAGATTGTCTTTCCTTTATCCTTTATATCCTTCTTTTTTCCCCGAAGCACTCGAGCGGGGTGAATACTACTCGAAAAATCAATTTTCGAGTTTGGGACTTTTTGAAGATTTAAAAAAAAAAATTAATGAAATTTTTCTCCCAGCGTCGAACAAAGGTCCTTGATATTTTATTATCAAGCGAGTTTCGAGAACGGAGAATTTATGTGAAACGAGGGAGGATTTTTTTTATTAGCCCCTTGACAAGAATAAAGCGAGGACGGGCCTGTGAATGGGAAAGTTTTTGAAAGCGAAGGAGATGCCAGGAGAAAGGAAAAAAAAATGTCTACGTCTAAGCGAATGATCTCGATTGTACATTAATATACAATCTTTCAATAATTAATATTGAAACTGTAAATTTTTTGCAGCAATTTTTTTCTTTTATACAGGCTGGCCGAACCCTGTGCTGATATGGGACAAATTAGCTCCAACGTGGATCTCGCGCTAAAGGGACTCTGGGAAACCATTGTCACTTTCCGGATCCGTGCGTATCTTTTTTAATACGAGAGATCCCCGCTGTGGCGTCGTCGTCTAAAATGTAGCTGCAGTCGATAGAGAAATTCGAAAACTTGTCGAATTCTTTTATCCTGGTGAACGTGAAACCTTGTTCCTATGATTTATAAAAAAACTCATCCATACATCCGTTTCGCATTATTCCAGCAGCCGGCCCCTTCTGTCGCTCCCGTAAATAATTACAGAATCAACGAAATAATCCATTAAATGACCTAGGACCTGCTGACACTGTCCATCCTCGCGAGCTGCCATTAGATAATTCGTGCTCGTTAATCATCGCGAGCGGTCCCGATCAGCCTCCCATTAAATTTCCTTCGATCGGTAAATCAGTGTGTTTGTAAAATTTCAAATGGCCGTAGCATTAGGTGGTTAATGACGTTTACAAAACTTGAGCGGTACGCCAAACTCAAAATATCCCCACGATAATAATCGCCAATGCATTCTCGGTTCGATTGTCGACAGTTACGTTTGTAAAAAAAGAAAAAAAAAAACATTTTTCATTCCCTGTAAATAGCTAATCCAATTCCACCATACGTCGTTACAGATATGGAAGTCCGCATCACAGCCGTTCCCAGTCGGTAAAAACATCAGGAAGTCGTTCGTCCGACCGTCCGAATTTTTTGGGTCTTCCCCAGCAAAGGTCAAGGGTCGCGAGTATGCCAAACACAAACGAGGAGCAGGAATATTATCGGCTGAGGCATTTCAGCATCACCGGGAAGTTGGTCGTTAACCGCGGCGACTCCCTGAAAAGTCGTCGTTCCCGTTCGAACAACAGCGTCGCCTCGAGTAACTCCAGGTACGAACGAAAAAAAAGAAAGAAAAAAAAACGAAAAAAAAAAGATTACCACAACCCCATCCCATACCAAGGAAAAGACAACAGAGCACACCTCTATCCACTGACATAGGTAAATTTCAAGGCTTGTATAAATAATTTGAAAAATTGTCCAAAAATGACAATTGAAATTTACGCAGTTTAAGTAATCCCCCACGTGTTCCCTTGACAGGCTCCCAGAAGACCTGCTACGAGGATGGTGCAAACTCTAGAGATTTCTTAACCCACTCTTCACCTTTCTTACGACAGACGCAGGATCAGCGGAGAAAGAGAAGACATAAAAGGATAGCCCTATATCCCTATATCGACCCTATATAACGACCAATGAGTAAACCCACAAGAGGATGTCATTCGGACCCCAACGTTTCGTTACTAATTCGAATCAGTCCGATTCTATGGCGTCTCCTTAAGCTCTACCGAATACCTAGGGATGAGTCTTGGCTAAATCAAGGTCGGCCATCAACGGCATAATCCTAGGAATAAACTTAGCAAATCCACTACCGGATACGCGTTGACCATAGCGATGCGCCGACACAGTGTATAGAGTTCCTAAGGTCACTTCGTAGACACCTTTGAAGTGGTTGGCATAAGAGGTCACTTGCCCAAGTCCAGAGCGATACTCATCCACTTCTGTGTAATTCGATTGACAGTAGATAGTTGACACGATACGTATACGGTCGATCGATTTCGATTAGGTAATTACTGTCAAAGTCACTTTCAAGTTGCCTTTGATTAGGCGCTGTCATGTCCGTCTCACATGGAAGTTACTTCTCGGTAGGACAACCGTACGTTTACCCGATTCGAGCACTCTGTTGTTTAACTCTTCTGTATCAATGATAGTCCGACGTACCGCGTGTTTAGTCTCAAGTAAATTTTCATCACTGCTATCGCTCTGATTAGTTTTGAGAATTCTGGGTTGTTCCGTTGTTGTTGTAGTTGAAGAAAGTACAGCAGCGCAAACTGTACTCTATATACGTCAGAGTAGTTTGTAATTAGATTCGCGTAGAATAATTCTCTGATATGAGTAACAAGGGTGCAGTCCTGAATTAATATTCTTGACTAGTATATCAAGAGCGGAATTTAATATTCTATCGAAAGTCTCTGAGGTGCCGTGTGAGGCGCATTAGAAGTAAGCAGACTGATTAAATAGGTATCTAGTATATTTATTCGTATACTGGCATTTCAATATGAGTCCTGGGCACCTTGTGCCAATCAATCGGGCTGGACGCGTCGACGTAAAAGGTCGTAACATGAGAAATTGTAGGCGAATCAATTATTTGTATGAAAATTTAGTGCGCTAGAATCGTATGCGGAAGGCGTTGTATGTATCGTATGTGTCATACGTATATTTTATAGGTGCGTGCGTGTAAATCGTGACAAATTGAATAACGCCCGTTGATATATAAATTTCATGCAATTCATTGACATACTTTTACACTGTGCGACGAAGTATCGATTTTATTTTTTCTAATTAATTGCTTAGCTCCGATATAATGAATTAGGCGATACCGAGTGTCGTCGTTAACGTTACACGAAGATTTATCTCTCTGTACTTTTTTTTATTTTATCTTCATTCTCGTCTAGTCTTACGGTTTCGTGTTATTTGCGTTAAAGCTTTCGAATCACGTAATGGATTGGTTGGCGAGGGAACATGTGTTTTCTCGACGAATGACAAACGAAAGAAGAAGGAAGGAACGATGAGGGAAGAAAAATATCCGTTACTCTAGATCGAACGCGTGAGTTTACGTGTGGCGTTGAGGTGACGTAGACACACGTGTTGGACCTTAGAGTGCCGGCGGAAGTCATCAGGGATCGACGACGCCATTGGGATGAGGGATGCGAAAAAATTTATTCATTCCCATATTTCACGTTATTCGTAAGCTTAACGGTGATGGGCGAAATAATTTTTTTTTTTTCACGGAGCAATTAATTTTTTTTTTTTTTTTTGTTGAAAAAACGGAGGAATTTAAACCACAAGCGACAGCTCGTGCGTTATGGTGCGAATATACCGTGAGAATGCGAAATTGAATAACTTGCCGGCTTAAGTACGTGATTTCTGATGTGATTTTGTCGCGAGAGAATAAAATGGGGGGACGGAGTATTTTAAAGAAATGACAGGGACGATAAGTGAACTGCGAATGGAATTAATTTACTATAGTCACAAAGGGGATGAAGATAAAGAAAAAGGTATAATACGATCCTTTTCAATGAACCGAATCCCTTCGAAAGAGGGTTGCTGTGCGGTGCTATGGATTTCATATATCTATATGTATACTATTATCTCATACCGGGGTGGTACCTCTTGTTTCGTGCCTCTCGTCGTTACCTTTGGTTAGAGTTTCGCTTTTTGAGCCCGATTAAATATTTCTACGTGACGTCGAGTGTCTCACCTTTCAGGAAATCTCGTAAAGCAAACACATTTTACACATTCTTCCGAGCAGTTCGATCAAATAGTCCTTTTCGCCCTTTTGTATTTGCAAACCCTTGTCAAAATTCCAGCGTGTCCAGCGCCAGCCTCTACACGGCCTATTTTTACGCCATATGTTTTCGAGTCCTAAGCAATCCTACCGGAAGTCAAGATATTTGACTTTACCATAGCAGGAATTTCGTTCCACTGAACACACCTGACTTTTTCGTCACCCTGGAACGGTTGATAAGCTATATCCGGTTTACTCGGTATAAGTGGCTTTTTCTTTTTTGACAAGACCCATGCAATCACGTTCGATCTGATTTTTTGCTGCGGACGATTGAACAGGATGCCTAGGACATGTTTTCAAGAAATATAAATAAACCCCAGCACGCCGATGATGAGGGAAATTAGAGCTGGACAATTTTCTCTGTAAATTTATAGATTTATATTTTGCATGAGAAAATCCTAAGGAATATTCCTGTAAGACCATTTTCATTAGACGTTTCGTGTCAAGAATTTTGTTTTTCGCAAATTCTTCCATATATTGTTACGTCATCGTCTATTTAACTACGACACCTCTTATTCTGCCCAATGCATTCCATAGGTAGATACCTATTAGCCCGCCTAGAGTAAAGACAATGTATGTGTATATATGTACGTAAGATCCTTTTCAGAGAGTGTATATATATATATATACACACACAAACATTCCTAATTGAATTACACGGGTCACTGATCTTCCAGTTCAGCAGCGTCAGTGAATTCTCTATTTTTCATCGTACCTCCAGAGTTACACGTGGCTGCGTGCACCCTCGAAAATTAAAAACTTCCACTCAGCCCCTGGAACAATGTCCAAAATCCCGAGCTATTTATAGTGGCAAAGGAAAAAAGAAAGGCGAGCCTTGTCCTTAAAAAAAATGGTACCTAGCGAAATTGCGAAATTTAATTTGACAGTCCCACGTGCTCGTTTCACCGGTCGCAGGTTTGAGCGAATTGGCTAAATTGCAATGAACGCCATATATTGCTCCTAGAATCCATGAGAATACCTCGGTTAATCGGATTAAGGGAAAAAAATAATTTTGAGATTTCCTACGTAATTGCCAGGGTACCGCGAAGGGACCGTCTCCACGTTCCAGGGCAATTCTCAAGTTGGCAACGTGGATACTAATCGTCCCACCCTTTGCATCTAGCCGCAACCCACTTCAATTAGTACAATTAGTAACAGCAAGTATGTACCCGAGTTCTTCGGGGTCGCGTTCAGTTATCGGGAATTACGTGACTGGAAGGAATACGACGGTTTGTTAAGCCTCCCGAACGTTCAGCCAGGCTGGATCTATAGATATGGTAAAAGGCGCGAGGGATATTTTAATATTACGAAAGGACTCCTTTGTCATTGAGCGAAAACCGTACGTCATGTCTCTCTCGTGTGGTATTGGGAAAATTGTCAGATAACAGTAATAGTCTGCGATGGGCGCAATATTAAAAAAGGCAATTAAAGTCAAATTGTTTCTTTATGCGAGCTACGAATTTTTGTGACCATCAACATTTCCTACCGGCATTGTTATCAGTCGGGTAAATAATTTTGTCCTGGGAGATATCTGCGATTTATCGGCACGAATTCTTTTCTTCGGGATCATAGTATCATTGACGTAGTAATTTTGGTTGTCCTTTTTTTTTCCGCTGACTAACTTCCGTACTTCTCTTCGTTACAGCACGGAATATCTAACGGCTTCGTATCCTGGATCTGCGAGGACATCAGCTGCCGGATCCTTGGCGAGTTCACGAGAGAGCAGCGCCTCCCAAGGACCCACTCGTTATCGGGTCCTGATGCTGGGTGCTCCTGCGGTTGGCAAAAGCTCCTTGGTGTCTCAATTCATGACCTCGGAATATCTGCACGCCTATGACACTTCGATCGGTGAGTAAAGTTTTCTTAATTAGCAGTACTTCTTAATTGTAACTCTTCTTAATCGACCTGATGACTATCCCTTTCCTCTCGTCCCACGCACCCCCTGTGTCATTTGAAAGATTTCAATGAAACGCTTCGACCGTTATCGAACAAGCTTTTCTCCTACAATTAGCATCCTTGAACGACCTCTGTCGGATGTTCGAGGCTTCGTTCTCTTTCCCTTGCTATTTCTTGTTTTTATTTCTTTTATTTCTTCTAACAGATACAAAGGATGCAACCTCTTGCTACGAGAAATGCCGTGAACACCTCGTTACCGTGGTCATCAGGGCTTCGTAGCCATTTTATAAACGGATTTATTACGCACTTTGAGGTGGCAGACGAATCTATTACGTTTTTCACTCGGATCTCCACTGCTTTCACAGCTGCCTATTGATCTCGTTAAGTAACCATTTTTTTTTCTTCGTTACTCCTGCGGCATTTTTTTTAATTCTCTCCTACTTTCTTTGTTCCAGCAAGATCCTCTTAGTATCCTGCAACAATTTCCAAAACGCCCTGTCGTATATCTTCCTCTTGTAAATTGCTCGTAAATTTCGTCCTTACGACCGGAGAGACTATCATCCCCTAGTCATCGTACCCCCCTGGAAAGACCTGCCTACGAGAGGGGCGAATTCGATCGGTCTATTGGAAAGAGTGTAAAATTGCCGAGCTATCGTGACTCGTGAAAAAGGAATTCAGATGGCGCTGGTGTCTGGCATGAAAATTCTTCTAGATCATCAGAACATCAGCGACGCGGTATCATCATTGGATCTCTGCAAGATCTTTTGTTGATTTTCAAAACGTTACTTATCATCGTGACTCCTGGTATTTGGACGCAAATCTGTATCGTCCCTATGGCACTATGCAGCAACTGTTTCGATTGAGGTGTCAGAGGTCCATCGGGGATAATACAAGACTCAACCTCTAATAACATTGGTATCGGTAAATGTTCCGAATCTCAAGCCTACTGCTTCAGTCAGCAATTATTCAGCGAGCGGAGATCACTGTTGATTTACTGCAGGATCGATATTGCTAGCTCCGGCTAGTTCTGGCTAACTAATAAACTGGCAGGTGTATCGTGTTATCTGCTGCAGTGTAACCGAGCAGCCCCATCGTATGGCTTAGCTATGCAAGTCTGCAGTATCGTAGTCGGTAACAACGTGGCGTAGTGATTTAAGAAAATTGAAATTTGTATTTTGAGTACGAGTGGAGCATTAGTTGTATACGTGTACGGACTATAAGAAGAATTGGGATAACCTGTACGAGATTGAAAAATAGATCAGCGACTGATTGCGATGAAATATTGTGCATGGAAGAATGCGTTCCACGTGGTGGAATTTTGGAAAAAAATTTATATGGACAAATCACTCGTTAATCCGTTAACTCGGATAATACGGTTGCAGGACGAGGAATTAAATTCATTGTATTCCAGTCTGAGAGGCGGGTAAACGCGAAACGGAATAAACTACGTGATATCAGCGCATAGAATCTAGTAGAATTAAATAATGAAAATACGAAAGAGAAAAACAAGATCCTGCTACTCGACAATTCACGACCTTCCATTCTCGTGGAGATTACGTTCCTATCTCGCCTGACTGTATCCAGGTATTCGCGTTCCCAGCAATTCGATTAGCGTACCTTACATTTTTATTATCGCGGTTCAAACGTTGCTTTTACATTATCGCGTATACCGGGTGGCACAGCTAAATGGATTTTAGATACCTTAGGTAACGATTCTGTCTGATGGCAGATACTTTTGTTAAAAAAAAATGAAGCATTCTCATTCTTACATTATTATCTTTGATAAATTGCATAAAGATATCTCCGTCCTTTAATTCCGCGTATCTGTATATGAGGATATGATCGATAATCAATAATGTATCCAGTTTTTTCCATTTAAAAAACATCCCTGATATTTACCCTACTTTCTTTTTTATTATCGTAGAGTCGTTTTCCTTGGATAAAATAAAATTGCCATCAAGTAATCATGCGTGGAAATACATCTCGATCGTTCGATCAAAATGCAATCTATTTTTTTCCACGACAATTTAATGATCCATCAGCCACCTTCATACGCAGTACACAAGGTCCACGAATAATATCCCTGTATATGCTCGGACCGTCGACCATGTTGAAAAAGTCGAAACTTCATCGGCCGCCTACGACACAAAGTTCGCCCTCGTACGAGAAGTTTGGCGAAATCCGATTGGTTCCCTGCCTAATTCGATTTTCACACGATAGATGGCACTGTGTGATATTTCCTTAAAAACGCAACAACAACAAATTTGGTCAGTAGCCGTAAGATGGCACAAAGGTCTCGACGCTATTGGAATCAGTCTTGAAATTTGTCCCGTGGATTAACCAGAAATTAATAAAGTGGCCAGAGTAGCAAAGTGTCTTCAGGGATTTGAAACTAGGAAAACCAATCGTATCGATTCCTGAGGTATATACCGTGTACTGTGCTTAATGAATTTTGGTACGCATAAGTGTCTCCGAAAAAGTGTCATCAAAAAAAGGAGCCACCAGTCTGTGACGACGGGTAATTGAATTTCCAAGGATGAGGAACGTAGTCGAACGACGCTCGAGCGTCCAAAGCACCCCGACGCCCCTCTTCCCGTGTAGGAATAAGGAACGCCCGCGAGTATGGGGTGCAACGGTCCGTTAAACGTGAATTCGTTATTATTCCGCCGAAAGGAAATTCAACGGTAACCTTATAGGTTGGTAAGAAGTCAGGTTAGGTATGGCCCGGTGGGAAGACGTCGGGTGAGGGTAGGTTGGTGTTACCGGCACGTAAAGGCTTATATACTGATACTGTATATGAAGGCGTCCGCGTAACGATCTCGTAAAAGATAAAAGACCTGGTGAATAATCGTTTACTCAGGCTGGGGTGGCAGGGTGGCAGCGGGAGTTTTCCACCCTAAGGGCTGACACGCGTGGAAACAAAAAAGCACTGGCGCATTCGTTACGAGGATTACTTTCACCTAGAACGAGATAATCTAAGCATTGTTATCGCGTACAAAACAACCCCCCCCACCCACCCAGCTCCCCTTTTTAGCGAATCTCTAATCTTCCCTTAGCGGCATGTCATTTGAAAAAGGTTAGGTTAAAAAAATTTTGTATCACATCCCACCGCTCTTTCGAATACTTTTCATCGGCCTTTTGAATATTTCACGTATATTCTTGCCTGACGTTCGCTAAGAAATAAAGTCCCTAGGGAAAAATGGATTGGGAAAAAGGTATATTACATTAGCGAATTTCTATACAGGGTTAGTCAGTAGAAACGCACCAGCAGAAGTTGGTCGCAAGTGGCCGACACGACAGTGTGGCCTCTTCAAAAAATGACATGCAACAGGAGAATGCCCTCGAAATCCTATACAGGGTTAGTCAGTAGAAACGCACCGACAGAAGTTGGCCGCAAGTGGCCGACACGGCAGTGTGGCCTCTTCAAAAAATGACATGTGACTGTGACCGATTCCCATAAGCGCAAACTGACAGTTCGCATGGCAATGAGGTTATTGAAATATTTCAATAGGTAGGTTACTGAAATAATTAATTAATATTGTAATGACAAAATGTAATGTCAGTTAAGATTTACTTTCACAACAGATTTTTTTGCTGTACTTTTTTGCTATAAAAACATTTCAATTAATTGATTTTTAAATTAATTGCAGCATCGTATTGCAGAATTGCAATTGTAATTATTACTTGGAAATATCAAAATTGTGAATATTTTAAGCTTTACATTGTTTCAATTGCAATCTGTTGTGAAAATAAATCTTAACTGATATTACATTTTGTCATTACAATATTAATTAATTATTTCAGTAACCTACCTATTGAAATATTTCAATAACCTCATTGCCATGCGAACTGTCAGTTTGCGCTTATGGGAATCGGTCACAGTCACATGTCATTTTTTGAAGAGGCCACACTGCCGTGTCGGCCACTTGCGGCCAACTTCTGTCGGTGCGTTTCTACTGACTAACCCTGTATAGGATTTCGAGGGCATTCTCCTGTTACGTCGGCATATCGCGCCGGGTCGCCTTGTAGAAACGACGCGATTTACGTAGACGCGGTTAAGGCGTATTAGGTAAGCATTGAGGTTAGGTATGGCTGAAAATTTATTTCGCTAATTTATTTTTTCTTTTCAATTTTTCCACTAATTTCACTGTAGGACCGGGAGTTATCGTGGATATCACAGATTTTATAAGGTTTTTTTTTACAAATCGTCGTAAATAGAATTTTTAATGGGATTTTCGGTTCGGTTAAATTCTTTACTAAAGATCTACCCGAGTATTGTCGTTTTTTATCGTGATTGATGATTCGTCGGCTGACGCGTATGAGTTTCCTCGTTTTGACAGTCGGGATTACCAGGAACCACTCTCGTCAGTCTAGCTTTTTCGAAAATCTTCGGTCTCTCTGTACGTTATAATATATTTTCGTTACCTCTGTTCTCCCTTTGTCGCTCGTAGGCAGTGCTCATTGTTCCCATGACGAAGGTTTGTCATGACACTGGAATGAGCAAGAGGAACGTATGATATTTAGAATATGGAAAAAAAAAGAAAAAAAAACATTAAAAATGAAACGAATGACAAACGGCGAAAAAGCTTAAACAATTCCATGCTGATCCGCTCGTAATCTCACGTATGAAAATAATACACAATACCGAATCGTACGTGAGATAACCTCCGAACATTTATACCACCAGCTACTCGTGTCTACACTTATTGAGTTGGTGAAAATCACTTTTTTTCCAATATATATATATTTTTCCTATTCTTTCACATTTTTCTAAAATACTTTCGACCAATTAATATTTATGTTCGATTTTTTTTCTTTTTTTCAAATATATTAATCTCTCCAAGTCCCGCAATACTTTTAAAGAGTGGGGTCCCTCCCACCGTAGAAAATTTTTCAAAAAAACTTCCCATAGTTTGCACGCCCTTTTTTTCAAAAATCTGTATTAAACGTATCCAAAATGACGTTTGCACGATGCTTTTAGTCCACTCGAGTATCACCCGCGACACGTACTGCGAGTGGTTGAGGAAAAAAATTTTTTGTTTTAAACATCCCCCAAATACGTTCAGGATTAAGCAGGCTTAGAAACAGCGTCCATTAACGTGACTCAGTGGAGGGTCACACGAAGGGATGAAATTTAACCACAGCCCTAAACAAGTGACGGTGGTGTACCATAGAGGACTTCGCCGTGAAATAAGGGTGGTCCCAGAGTGCCAGTCGCGGTTGAATGGTTGTCAGGGTTAAAAGCATAAGATTCGTCGAACGTCTGTTCATTGCTTAACACTGGCAGGGGTGAAAAGCTGACGGGACCGTTGAAATTTTTATATCCCTATATATTACTCGTCCCAACCCAATTCACCCTCTAGAGAATATTGAATATCCGCAAAGTCCGTAATTTCATTACATTTTCATTACCCCCCGATGTGTCAAACATACACTAGCACAAGAATAGAACGTAATAACAAAAGCAAAATACCAATCAAGTTATACCGATAGCAATGAAAATTTATCAAAATTCCTAATTTATGTAAAATTTATTTTAGTCAAAAAAATATATATATATATCAACACGAACGATACGCGAGGTAAAGCCACGTGAGGCAGGCAGTTCTCGTACGAATGTAATGGCGCAAAAGGGGTGTAGGTAATACGAAAGAGAGAGAAGAGAAGCTATCGCCGAGAGGCGATATCCATACCAAAAGGAAAAGGAAAATGGCATCGCACTAAATAGTTATTGCCTTAACCCAGTTTCGAAACTGTCTCTGCGTGACGATCCGAGTCGATTCGTGTTAGCCCATCCTAGACCGCATTGGCGTATTTGAGAGTCGCCGAGACCCAGAGAGGGTGGTCGCGTCAAACATGGATTTTTTTTTTTTTTTTTTTTCCATTCTTTTCCTAAACTATATTTACTATACAATGGGACCAGATTGAACAGTCTGCTCTGGTTGACATGTATCAAATGAAGTACATATATATAATATATATATGTACATATATCTGCTATTACTCCTCATCGTGCATAGCCATATAGGAATATCCCTATATTATGCAGATGTGTTACTATGCATACGTGTTTTTTTTGTGAAAACTAAGAAAATCTTCCCGATCGATATTATTAAGCATAATTGTATTGTCGGTAGCAATGTGTGTTACAGATGACGAATCCGGCGAGAAAACCGTGAGCGTAAAGTTGGACGGCGAGGAATCGGAATTGACCTTCATCGATCATTCCTGCGCCGAGATGACCGTGAGTAAAATTATGACATTTTTTATTTATACATTAAACTATCCATACCATTTTTCAATAATATATACGAAGATTTTTCACGAAACGTCTGTTCCATAAAAAGCCACTTTCTTTTCGAACGGTCTAGAATTGCATTCTAATCGCATAAGTGCATCTCTCTCTCTCTCTCCTACGGCTCAGTCCACGCGACAGTATATTTGCACAAAGAGGCTGTATATCCATCAAAAGTCATATTGTGGAGATAAGCAGGTCTACCAACGAAGAAAAAAAAAAAAAAAAAAAATTCTTGTCCGCCTCCCTAACACGGGTTATCCTACGCTCGCGTAATTTTTCATCAGAGATTACACCGGGTCGGCGATGTAAATTTTCCTTCCCGTCGCGTCATTAATAGGGTGATTAACGGGCGTGGTAATAATTTTTGCTATACCAGGTAACCATTGCATGAAGTTGGGAGGGGGGTGGCGATAATTAAAATATAACGCTAATACGATTTTGCGCTACTTGGTTGGGGGTGATTAAAAAAAAAAAAAAAAATTAAACAGGAAAATACCCTCGATTAAATTTCTACTCTATCCTTCTATTGGCCATATAAAATTGTCATCTTATATTTGTATCGTCAGAGGCAGATATAATATTTTCCACTTGAATCTGACGTATGCGTTTTATACGTATCTGGTAGCTGTCACCTTTTATTACATTAACCCCAGCAACGTGGGAACGTTTCGAAATCCGAATGGCGGGATGCAGTTACGTTTTGAAATATTCAACGGGCCTCTATGTAACTCCTCGGCGGGATGTTTCATGCGGTGGCGGGAGATCCAAGTGGCTGGCAAGTCGCTGCTGCAGCAACCGCTCTATGGATATACGTATCTGCTGCACTCTTATTATATACGTGTATATATATATATATTTATGAAACATTAATGCGGGCTTACATACATATGTATAGCAGACCGAAAGTGCCCGGATACAGTCGACTCTGAATTTAATACGTAATTTATCCTTTATAGCTCTCGCAGCGTTACTCCGTCAAAGAGGCTTCAATCTGATTTCATTTGCCTTCTGTATATATGTGCCCTGTCGCGAAATAAATTCGCGTACTGCAAATATGATTTGGAATCTTTTTTTTTTGAAAATTTTCTTTTCGTCAGGTGACTTGCCTACAAATTCATTCTCCGATCCTATTGGATCTACGTATGAGGATGCTTCTGCAATAAAACGAAAGGTCGTGGTGAATTTTTCGCAAGAATAACGCATGTTATTTGCATAATCGTGCAATTTGGCTTAATTGCCAGGTAACCTTCTTGTTCGCCACTTTAAATCCGGCTGGATTAACTCCGCTTACGACAGATGAAAACTAGTTGGACGGGAATTTATGGAGAACGGAATAGGGGAAATTGCGCTGTTCTTCGGAGAATGCCAGAGAGAGAGAGAGATATCAAGGCTCTTTTGGACTTTTGTATGAAAATCTCCTACTTCGTTCTTCCGTTGTTTCTCTTTGCTCCCTCCCCCCCCCCCC